TAGGTCATGGTTGGACACAATGATCTTTAAGGTCTTTTCCAACTTGAGTGATTTTATGATTCTATGATTAAAAAGGATGACCACAGTTAGTGCATGTGGATTTTGAAAGGGACACAACCATCAACATATAATAGCTAACAGTAAAGTTTTGACCTCTTCCACCATATTGGCCTGCTTACTGACATCACTGACAGTTTCCAGTGGTGGCATTCTGATGCAGGTGAATTTGGTGGACCCTGAGTTCTCATCTTTCATTATTTTCCTACTGTTAAGTGCTGAACATCTACGTATGGGTGTGTCTCTTCTTTTAAAGTTTTTACCTGAACTCACATCGAAGACTAATGTACATGCAAATGTGTCAAACCTCTCTTCCTCCACTTACATTCATTTGTAGGTTATCACTGATCCATCTATCCTAACAGATTAACATAGGATGGGTAAATGTATGTGCAGAGAAACAAGTGAAGTCTGGGATTGAGAGTTCAACATTCTATTATGACGGAAAGGAAAAAGCTTGTGAGCTGTTTGGGAATTCAGTTAACCTCCCAAAGGTGTCAGGATGAAGTTTTGGTTTTGTTATGATCACAAGATCTCTAGTACTTACTGTCATTTACTTTTTGTTTTGGAACAGCTCATTGTCTAAAAGCAGAACCTTGTGTATTCCATATACCTTGGCCACAATATGATTTCATTTTTTTCTGACACTACTACCATATGCAATACTTAAATGTGATGCTTTCATACTTTGCAAATGGATACTCCCCTTCATAGACATCTATTTACTGTCCATCCATCTGTAATGCAGTCAGGCCTCTGATTTCATCTCCATTGCTTGGAAGAGATCTGCACAAATAAAGACTCGTGTTCAGTGATTTTCTTTGTTGTTGGCCATCAGTTCTTGCTACAGAACATATCCCATTTCTTTGGTGTATTTTGATATTCCTGTTTTTCTTTGGACAGTATTACAGTTCCCCACAGACAGGAGATTTCTATGATATTGATTCAATCTGATCACTTGTGGAAGCCAGAGAAGGTGCAAGAAGCAGATTATGTGAACAAGGGAGTGCTATAATATGTACTACTTACATGCTGATCTGATCACCAGATTTGATTGCAAAGGAAAATCATATTGTCCTGAACGACAGTTCAGCCATTTATGAGTTCTGTGTTTTCCTCTTAACTAGTAATACCATGGCATTCATGACCTCTGTGGCAGTAGTAATCCCCATAACTGATAAAATTATGATGTCAATAATAGAAATCACCATTCCACCTGTACTTTCAGTCCTCCGTGGTAACCACAGACATTTAAAAATCAGATGTTTCTAAGAAGTTAATCTTGAGAAATTCATGTATTCCACAGTTTTCCTCCTCCATCTCTGCAGAATGCCGTATTTCACCTACAGCTGAGAAAGAACGGTGCTGATTGGGGAGACCCCGGTGAAACTGAAATCAAATACTTTGGTTCTGGTCCTGGGCTTCAGGTTAACTATTAACCATTCTTAGCACAAACAAGATTTTAACATGAGCTGATAAATTCTTTATGTATTGAATCTCAGCTTCTGATTAAATGAACACAACTCCTTTGAAAACATGGGAGTACAAAGTTCATTTTCCTATTTGGGAGTTAAGTTTTGTAGCTCTTGAAGGCTTCAAAATGTATTTTTATCTGATTTCCATTTTGCTTTGACTATCAGAGGTACTCTGAGCCATGCAGATACGACGCACTGTTAACTGCTTGGCTGCATTTTATGAAATGGAAACAAGCAGGATGGGCAGAAGATTTCTGCTTTGTGAGCCAAGAGTGGATGCTGTTTTTATGCACTGCAAGAATCTGTAGAGAAATATGAATTGCTAATCAACATATGATCTGCTGTCCACCAAATCCAACATCCTTAAACGTGGAGGAAACAGCTACACCGGAAAGCTACAAATATCCTGTCTGTGGGACAGAAACATGTGCTAGCCTGTGGCAACAAGTTACACTATGTCCTGTGGAAATAACTTCTTAGTTCCGAATGTTTTGCCTTCCAGACCTTTTTCAGCCAGCTCAGCGCACAGCTCAGTGTGTGATGTAACCAATTATGTTTAATTTATTTCTCTTTATTAAGCTTTTTAAAGTGCAGTTTCTGTCTTTTTGGTCTTTATTTAATCCTTCCTCCAGGCTTGCATATATTTTGTTAAATACCTTTGAAATCTAGATAAATCTGAGATAGATCTTCAGAATTGGTAGGAGAACCAACACGCCTACCACAGGTCATAAGTGATCATTACATTAATGTACTTTCAAGTCTTGGTTTGCTATTTTTTCTTGAGAACACAGAACTTACGTTGATGTTAGTTTTTGCTTAGGAAAACAGTACCTAAAAATGTATTGCAGCAATGGAGCTCTCTTAGATACAGGGAAGTGGGCACTGATCATTGACTTGGGAAAAAAAACACAATTCCTCAAGCCATGCTCTTTCACATGGTTGAGGCCTCACACATAACAAGCAGATTTCTTCCATAACTCTTAGTCAGCCTACAAAACCTATGCCTTTCCTTATCATGTTTGATTACAAATATTGTGCAGTTCAATATGTTAGACCATAATAAAGAATGATTTCAACAGGATCCTTCAGAGAAGAAGAAAAGCCAAAGAAGAAAAAAAATCTTAACACTCAAGACTAGAAGTATTAAAATGTCGGTCTCAATGGCATTTAAAAGACAGGGTGCAGCTTGACAAAAGCGAAACACCAGCAACTGTAAGACAATGTCCCTTTTATTCAGCCACATAACAGTGACTTCAGTACTGGAGAACTGTGTAGTTCTTTAATATATACTTATTATGCCAGCAGGATTAGAAAAGCTTAGCAAACTCCAAGGTCTAGAATTCTTCCACTCATTGTTCTTAAGAGTCTCTGCTATTTACATCAATCTCTGGTAAAATATTTCCAAGAATATATTTCTGAATGTATAATTTAAGCTTTCATTATGTATATCATATAGTGGTAGTGAGTTATCAAAGATTATCATATTCTGCTTGTATTCTGTTAGTGTTACTCTAATATCTGTGGGCATGCGTCACAATTTAATACAAAATAATGGCAGACAAAAGATTCAGATTTGCTTTTCTGCCATGTTATGAAGGATTCATTTCTGGGAAAATTGCTTTTCCTAATAAATAACTCTGTAACATCTCATTTTGATGCTGTTTCATGCTTGAAGTTCAGCAGGGAAAGCAGAAACATATTTAAAAAGTGCATGGACGACTGAGGTATAAAGCCATTTGTATTGCAAGATTATGCTGGTCCCCACTGAAGACAAATTGATTGGCAGCTGTGGTGTCTGCTGGAGATCCTGGCATTTATTCCATCCAGGGCTTTTCAGGAGAACCCCAGCATTTGCATTGCCAGCGGTGTTTGCAAGTGGATAAATGCTGGTTCAGCAAATCTGTTCCCTTTCTACTGCTGAGAGGTCTTCTGAAGGGGCACCTGGGTTACCTACCCTCATCATGCTGATCTGCAGGATCCTTTGTCTTGCCAGTACCAACAGGGGGCAGGATCAGTCCCTCAGGGCACAGGATTCAGTGCTTACAGCACAGCCTGCTTACCATAGGCAGGGAGCTGCACAAAGCCTCTGCTCCAAAATATTTGGAAACCTGGTGTTGCAAGAGCCCTTCCAAGCCCTGTGTATGTGGGTGAGCCATAATTGGATACTATCTGATGATATTAATGAAGTGTCATTAAATCTTGATTTGCAAAATGCTACCACTGGCCATATACACTGTCTGTCTGCATATACAGCGCTAGGAAGGTGGTGAATGAGGTGCTTGAGTGAATTCCATCATAAAAAGCAGACATAAGGGCACTCTGCAAAGTCAAGCTTAAGACTAGTATATTGTGTCACAGACTTTAAGAGAGTAGGCGTAGGAAAATGCACTTATGGGAAGCGGGTGAAACCAGTAGACCTGAAGAAGAAAGTGCAGGCAGATCATTTTCCCTTGGAGGCTGAAGAATAATTCCTAGGAGTTCTGAAAGACCAAAAATATGGCCAGAAAGAGACAGTGCAAATTGTGTTAGGAAGGTTTTTGTCACCAAATGCTTTTCAGAAGGGTCACAAGGATGGAAAGAAGCATTCTAGGTGCAAATGATTTCATGAGAGCAAATGATTATATTCTTCTCTTCACCCTTCTGTTGACTCTCTTATTCACATAGAAGTCTTGTTCTCCTACCCTAACACCTTATGGTGTTATATGTGCTGCACCACAGCTTCTTCTGTTAGAAGTGACCTCTCACCAGAAGCAAGGACTGTCCTGGTGCATTATGATGTTGATCTACTGAAGCTGATGGAAGTACTTTCGCTGTTGCTCACTACAGGCTTTTTTTAAGAAAAGATTTTCTAAAGTACTGAGAGAACAGTAAAAAGCAAGAAGATGATGGAATTGTTCATATCATTATTTTAGTCTTCAGAGCAATTCCATAGGTGTTCAGAAGACTGCTTAGTGCATGCATATCAAAGTACAAACCTTGGAGAGAATTCCACAGGAGATACCTTTATGATACTCTGGCTGATCCTGGGACAAATATACCTCGTTATAGTGGGAGCATATTCAGATCATTATAATTCATATGTCTATTTTTCTGCACTTGTGCCTGTCAGAGCAGTCGTGCCCAAACGTGAGTGAATAGATATTCCCAACATGTAACCCTTTTTTATCACTTATCTACTCAACTAAGCTCAATATGAGTGCAAAGTAGAATAAACTAATGAGAAATGGAACAAAAGAAATGTTAAATATAATTTCCAGTCCAGCACAAAATGAGGTACTTTGCTTATCTCAGATTAATGTGCTCTTTTTTCTTCATCTAGGTGAACTTGTTTTTCTTAGGTTGTTTTTATTGGCTTCACTGTCTTTCGTGGCTGCAGGCTACAGGAGAAAGCAGAAACAATCCATTATTTTTGCTGTCATAAAAAAAAAAAGTAAGACACTAAATTCTATTCTACTTTTTCCCTTGCAGATGTCACCGTTGTCCACATCTACTCACCAAGCCCTTTGAGAAGAGTGAGAAGCCATGTGCACTGTCAGAGTACATGGAGAAATACCCTCTTTATCCCAGCACTCTTCCCAGAGACTCTTTCAAACCAAAAGCAGAATACAAGACGGCAAAGACACCCATGGAAGGCACTTCAGTGACAAAGTATGAGAAGTAGTGAATAAGAGTAAGGATTGTGCATTGGAGCATATGTGTGTGAGAGATGGGTAATTGAGAAAACAAAAATGATTGTCTCCAGGAAAAGGTGAAGACTTACATGCTGGTGTTGTACAAACACCTGTAATTAGCTGTGCTAGTGGAGGCAAGCAGTCATTTTTCTTGCACTTTCCCAAGATTGAGATGTGATCTGACTGGAGAATACATGGAGCACAGTGGTAGAGTCATGATCTTGGAGTTTGTCCACATTGTATTTTGGAAAACAAACATGAATATTGCCTTGGAAACCATGGATCATACTAGAGGAGCATTTTTCTTTTGTTCTGTGTTATGTATGAGACTTTGCATGTGTGACCTGAATGAGTAGTTTTCAACAGGGCATGAACATGGTAAAGCCTGATGATTGGAAAGGGGCTATGGTGTGTACTTCAAGGTTGGCTCTCTGGAGTGGAGGATGACTGGAGGAAGGGTCACATCACTCCCATTTACAAGAAAGGGAGCAAAGAGGACCCCGGAATCTAGGGGCTGGTGGCTAGTAAGGAGGAAACTAGGAGGCCGGTGAGTCTCACCTCTGTGCCTGGGAAGATCATAAAACAGATCCTCCTGGATGACGTGCTTGATCACATGAGCATGTGATCCGAGACCACCAGCACAGCTTCACCATGGGAAGGTCATGCTTGACCAATCTGATGGCCTTCTATGATGGAATGACGGCATCAGTGGACAAGGGAAAGGCGACTGATGTCATTTACCTGGACTTGAGCAAGGCCTTTGACATGGCCCCCCACCACATCCTTATCTCCAAATTGGAGGGATGTGGATTTGATGGGTGGACCACTCGATGGATAAGAAACTGGTTGAAAGGCTGCAGACAGAGGGTGGTCATCAATGGCTCTGTGTCCAGGTAGAGGCTGGTAATGAGCAGCATCCCCCAGGAGTCTGTCCTGGGACCGGTGCTCTTTAACATCTTTATCACACAGAATCACAGAATCACAGAATCACCCGGGTTGGAAGGGACCCCAAGGATCATGTAGTTCCAACCCCCCTGCCTAGCAGGGCCACCAAACATACACATTCAGATCAGGTTGCCCAGGACCCCGTCCAACCTGGTCTTAAACACGTCCAAGGACGGGGCATCCACAACCTCCCTGGGCAGCCCGTTCCAGGGCCTAACCACTCTCCTAGTAAAGAACTTCCCCCTAACATCCAACCTAAATCTTCCCTCCTTCAACTTAAAACCATTTCCCCTAGTCCTGCTGTTATCAGCCCTTCTGAACAGTTTACTCCCCTCCTGGGTGTAGGTTCCCTTCAGGTATTGATAGGCTGCAATGAGGTCACCCCGCAGCCTTCTCTTCTCCAGGCTGAACAAGCCCAACTCCCTCAGCCTGTCCTCATAGGGGAGGTGCTCCAGCCCCCTGATCATCTTAGTCGCCCTCCTCTGGACCCTTTCCAAAATCTCAATGTCTTTCTTGTACTGAGGGCTCCACACCTGGACACAGTACTCCAGATGGGGCCTCACAAGAGCCGAGTAGAGAGGGACTATCAATGACATCGATGATGCAATTGAGAGCACCTCAGCAAGTTTGCTGAGGACACCAAGCTGAGTGGTGCGGTTGACACAGTGGAAGAAAGGAATGCCATTCAGAGGGATCTCAGCAGGCTTGAAAGGTGGGTCCAGGTGGACCTGATGAGGTTCAACACAGCAAAGTGCAAGGTTTTGCACTTGGGCCGGAGGAATCCCAGGCATCCATACAGACTGGAAGGAGCGGTCCTTGAGAGCAGCCCTGCAGAGAAGGACCTGGGGGTCTTGATGGATGAAAAGCTTAACATGAGACAGCAATGTGCTCTTGCAGCTCAGAAAGCAAATGGTATCCTGGGCTCCATCTGAAGAGGGGTGGCCAGGAGGGACAGGGAGGTGATTGTCCCCCTGTCCTCTGCTCTTGTGAGGCCCCATCTGGAGAACTGTGTCCAGGTCTGGAGCCCCCAGTACAAGAAAGACAGGGAGCTGCTGGAGAGGGTCCAGAGGAGGGCCACAAAGATGATCAAGGGTCTGGAGCACCTCCCTTATGAAGACAGGCTGAGGTTGCTGGGCTTGTTCAGCCTTGAGAAGAGAAGGCTGCAGGGTGACCTCATTGCAGCCTTTCAGTACATAAAGGGAGCCTACAAACAAGAGGGGAATCAACTCTTTGGAAGGGTTGACAACTGCAGGACAAGGGGAAATGGTTTTAAGTTGAGGCAGGGAAGATTTAGGTTGGATGTCAGGGGGAAATTCTTTACAGAGAGAGTGGTGAGGTGCTGGAACAGGCTGCCCCATCCTTTTGCCTTCCGAGCTGCAAGAACACATTGCTGGCTCATGTTAAGGTGTTCAAGGCCAGACTGGATGGGGCCCACAGCAGCCTGGTCTAGTATTAAATGGGGAGGTTGGTGGCCCTGCATGTGGCAGGGGGGTTGGAGATGCATGATACTTGAAGTCCCTTTCAATCCTGGCCATTCTGTGATTCTGTGATGCTGTGAGTGCTGGTCTGTTTATGCTTCTCAGCTACACTGCTGCACTGTATTGTTCAGCAGAAATCCCTGCACTTGCACTATGCCCATTTCCCTGAAGGAATGAACTTTCAAGGCCCTTCCTTGCTTCTAATAGGGTGATCTGCTAAGATCTGGCCCAAATTAAAAAACGCATCAAGAAGGAACCCAACCCTTTAACATGAACCTGACAGCTTCACTTTCCCCTAACAAAAGCTTCTGCCTGATCTTATTGGTCACCTTCTTTGTCCTCATGGACACACTCATGAACTATCTCACTCTTGCCTTTGCTGATAGGTGTCACATAGAAGCAACAAGCCTCCCTGATTAAAGCGCAGGAGTTGCAGCCAGTACCATTCATTATGGTGCCTTGGTTGTAGGAATGCTGAGTTATCAGCATGTCAATCTGTCCTCTGTTATCTCCACTGCAATTTCTGTTGTACTGCAATACTCAGAGTGGAAAATTTCTCCCACTGCTAGAGAACCCTTGAACACAATACCTCAACATCTTAGAATAGTTCTTTTATATGATACATGAAAAAAAGCTGACTGCCTGGCTGTGTTGATACTTATCTCCTACAACTCCTCAACAACGGCAACTGTCTTGCTGTTAAACTTGTTACTACCTCCCCATCCTCAGCTGAATTGCTGTACAGTACATTGCCTAAGAAGGCTATTTTTCCCTCTGCCAAGCATACCAGGTAGCCTGCAGTAATTACTGGGTTTTTTAAAAGAGCTTATGTCTTCTTCTATTACTCCAGTGTAGAACAGAGAGAGATTTGTATGAGACTGTTAACCTCACTGGGTGGAGAGAGGAGGGAATCTGACAGATCTGGCCTGCTTTGGACTGTCCAAAGCTGCTTAAGTTCCTTTTTCACAGTCCAGATTTCCAAAACTGAAGAGCTTGCTTTTTTTTCTTTACAGCTTGTATGTTATCCAGATGTTATTAGTCTGTGGTGACAAGGGGAAGTATTAATTTCTGTATGTATCCAGGAGAAGAGCATAATTCTGTCCTTAAACCAAGACTTAATGATGTTATTATTCACAGGAGAGATTATGTAGCTCATGAAGTGTTGCCACAGAAACTTAAAGAACCTGAAAAGCATGTCAAGAGTGATGAGAGCATGGATTTGACCTCTGTTTATAAACAAGACTATAACTCCTACCCTATCTGTCAAGTACCTCCTTGCCTCCCCTGTGAGACAAGAGAAATCTCCACTGCCAAGATGAACACAAAATCCACTTATAAAGGTATGTATTCTTGCAACTTCTCTCAGGACTTCACAAGCAGTTTCATTTTTGAAGAAGGCAGGTTGAAAAACAGTGTGCAGTTCTGTGCAGGTGCACCAACAGATTGGATGTGCTGCAGACTCACAAAAATTTCACGTAGAGATACAAGGTGGGGCTGTCAGCCTCATGTTAGTGACAACATTGGGTATGTGTGAGTTCACCACTTTTCCATGTCTGGCAGGCCTGCAGGCATCTGAGTAGAAACAGGCCCCCTGAACTCCAGAATGTGGATAAATCAGTGTTGCTTTTAGGATATATTGAACATAATGTTGTTTTGCCAGTGGATTAAACACTTTAGATGTGCAGAATTCAGTGGGTTTGAGCAGGTCATGAAGCATGGCATCAATTTTTTTGAGTGCTGCAGAGTTAATATGACATGTATGGGAAGTATGGACTTTCAGACTCCATGCAGATGTCCAAGGCACTCAAGTTCTCCTGGTAAAACAGTGAACTGTGCACCTAACTGTGCCCTCATATTCTCAGTAGCAGCAGCTAGCTGTAGATAGTTAGGCTTTAGGGGGCTTTGCTCCTTCCTCTCCACCAGCATTACTTCTCGTTTGCATGCACTGGAAGAAAGATTTCAGCTATATAGCCACAGTAACAATGTTAGTTTTTGTCAAAAGGAGCCCCCTTTTGCACAGCTTGCAGTTACTCAGTGCTGCTAAGCAGATAGCATTATTGTATTTCTTAAAATATTTTTTACTGTTTCATTTTTCTTGTGCAGTATGGGTATAAAACCTGGTGGCTGGCATTGATATTTATCCCAATATACAGTAACAAATCTTTCTTATAACTCAGAATGATAAAGGAAGTAAAGAAATTGAAGGTATATGAATGCAATCATGCAGTGTTATGATTACCCATCTGCAATGACTGAAAGCCAGACTTAGGTACAGCTGCATGTTTACAATTTCAGGAACTGGAATTTTTACATTAAGTATACAGGAAATACTGTCTATTTAGAATGAATTTCCTTATGAAGACTATGACCCACAGGTGTAAAATACCCACATTTACACAAGTTTGAGCATTTTGTTATGTATAGGCTATGTCACCAGATGGTGTCCATTGGAATAGCCTCAGTGAAGCCAACAAAGAAATGCTGCTTTGCACAAACAGAATCTTTCCTTCTGTATTTAGATACTCTTAACATCTCTGTATCTGGATCATGTGTGTATCTTTGTGTTTTATCAATGTTTAGGTCAATACCTCAACTGCTACTCCAGAGCTCTAATAAAATGTAACAAAGCCACATTTGGTTATAATTTGCAGTATTTTTCAAATCTGCAAATGGAAGTCTTCATCCAAACCACCTGAAAGATCAGGTTTCATACTGAATTAGTTCACTTTTAAAGGCCCAGTTTTATAAAAGAGTAAGTTCTCATTGTGCTGTTCTCTGAATGTTACTAGGTTTTAGGTATTGCCACTCAAGGTGTGAAATTTTGTAGCATGCTATTCCATTAATTATCATAATTCAAAAATTCAAGCAGCATATAAAACATATAAATGTGCTGCTTTGGCATTAAAATAGCTTTCCAACTGTATTATTATTCTCCTTTCCACTACACACACCATGTCCCAAATAAAACTTTGGGTTTAAGATGATGCTATTACATCAGTCTGACAATTCATGTCAGATAACTTTGCATCTTGAGGTTTTGAAATTCTCACACCTGCAGGTGTAGCTTTTTGCATCCATTTGGAGGTGTGTAATCTAATTTTAGCACTATCTTCCTTGCAGTGTGATGTGTGAAACCTTCCAAAAACATATGGTTCATATCCTCTGCTCCTTTCTGTACCCCATAATGTTTTCAAGATTGTGCTACATGGGAAACTATTAATATCTATGGGTTAAGAATTAGACTTACAATAAAACTGTAACATATTTTGAAGGAGTAGTAGCACTATTGTCTTACACTAAATAAAATGAATTCATAATGCCTATGAGGTCTCCAAATGTGTAGGGCTTGTACATTTTTAAAATTGAAGACAGACTCACTTGTTATATTTTGAATATTTTGTAAAAGCTGTGGTTACGTCCAGAATGCACTGGGTATTTTCCATCAAGGATGGGGAAATATAGATAGTTTTTGGTGGTTGTCATCTGAACTGCTATATCTCTGAATGAGCCCTTGCTCAGAGACATGCCCAGTCTCATTAGCTCTCATTTTTTGACACTAGATAGCAGATCCCCTATAATGTTTCATGTCTGTGTACACTCTTGGTTCACCATACTGAAACTTCTCTCTAGAATAATGATGAACTCTGAGCAGAGGCACAAGGTGTGGATCCCACCAGCGGATGATGCCTAGACCTCTCTTATTCCCCTGGTAGAAGCATGAGCACTTGGGGTTCTTTGATGGTGCTGGAACTTGCAGAGCAGAAGGCCTTGGCTGTGGTGCCACTGTCAGCAGGAAATGAGTACCTGTGCTGTTGTATGGGCCCACGTTCTCAGCTGCCTGTACTAGTTAGCTGTTCACGTAAGGACAGTCTATCTCCTGGTTTGGCATCGAATGCTGTCCCACAGAGTCTGGGAGACTTTTCATTGGCTTCAGCAGCGGAAGGATTTTGGACACAGAATGCAGAAAGCTCCCCAGGCTGACAGGCCTCATCTTCCATTCCACCATCTTGCAAAGACCTGTGTGTGACCCACTGTTCTTGCTGGGAGGTGCACAGCTCCTGTGGCTGCTCTTTCCTCTCTTGTTCCAAGGCAGGGCACCTTGATTTAAACCAGAAGGACTTTAAATAGACACCTAATTGGGGCAAAGAAAGGACTTTTTTGGTCAACTTCACATTGTAGTGAACACATCCTTTGTATAATTGTGTTTGTGCAGTACTGTGGCCACTGCTATTCAGAACGAATAACTCTATTTGGATTGGAGAGTTCAAATATCCTGATACCTCATTGCATCATTTACTTTCTAGTACTTTGAAATCCAGACTTCCTTCCTGTGCAGTCAGCTGGAAGCTTATTTGCCTCATGACTCCCAATGTGGTTTGAAAGGAGGGAAAAATGAAAAAAAAAAGGCTTGGGTTTGCTCCAAAACTATTTCATTTCAACTTCCTACCAGTAACCATAATGATCTCCAGGGGAAGTTGCACAGGATTGCTAGGAAGGAAAAAAGATGGTCTTGTGGCTGCAGCACTGTTCTGAGAGCTAGGCAGCTTTGCAATAGATTTCTAATGTGAATGAGTGTAAATCTTTTAAGTCTGACTGCCTCATTTTGCCTGTTGTACTGCTGAGTAAGGAAGATACGAATAACCTTAAAATGCCTCCTAGAAATTCTCTTGGCTATGAATTTAGATAGCAGGATTAGGAGTAGGAGCCATCTCAGTGATATGATAGAATCCTTTAGGTCAGGGCAGTCTTGTTCTGCAAATTCTAGCAGCTTGCTATTAACAAAGAATTGGAGGCTTATATTAGTTCCATCTTGGTTCCTGCTTGTGCTGATGACAGAGAGGAAAGCCAAAAGCAGAATAAATGCCACAGAGCACAAAAGCTTGCTGACACAAGGATACACTGCAAAACTCTAAATTCAGCCAACAGCAGGAAGATCACATCTGTGCAGTTAGGAAAGCAGATCATCCTACGAGAAGGTATAAAGAGGAAAGGCAGCCCTGCAACTTGGTCTTTAGAGTGGAATGGCAGACATTCAATTTTCCTTGTCCTACTAATACTAAGGAGACATCTGTATGGCCTCCTGGAGACAAAGGCATACTCTGCCTGTTCTCTAAACTAGCCACAGTATAAATGCAGAAGGAGTCTGGAGTTCTTGCCATGATACTTCCATATTAATGATTTCCGGTTGACTGAGAATGAGGACAGCATTCAGTTACCTGAAGAAAACATCTCTAAAAGACTTAGAACATTATTTAAATTTTCCAGTTTTGCATTTCACCATTTCTGTAGGCAAGCGTTGGGTACAGAATTATTTTCATGACAGTTGATGTCTTTTCTTTGTAGATACTTTTAGAAACTTCTTAGATACTTGTAGAAATTTTCTAAAGAGGCTCTTTCAGTGGGTTTCTGACATGATTTGTCAACTTTTACGACTCCAACAAATATTTACTACAGTAGAAAGTGTAAAAAACCTATAATGTTCTGAATGCCTAAACTTGTCAAAGAACTTCAGATGAATGTTTAGATTTCTCCTATGTTTCAGATGACTATATGCTGTGGGATGAACCAAAGACAGAGCTGATCAGACCAGATCATGGGTACCACCCATCAGAAGCAAAATTTGACCACAGAACTGTTGTTCAAGATGAGTATTTCTTCAGGGGACCTGTTGCAACTCAAAGCTTCAAACCTCTGAATTTGATTCAGAAGAGCAAGGCTCCCTTTGAGAATATGACAGATTATACAGCAAATTATGTGCTACATCCTCTGGAGAAACGTTACATCCATCAATATGAGAAATATAAGCCCAGTGAGGTTCCATTTAATGGCCTCACTACTAACAAAATTTCTTACAAGGGGCTGGCTGGTACACCAGCCAAATTGGCAAAACCATACCAGCCAAAGTTATTCCATGATCCATTTTTCTCTTCAACTGAGTTTCAGGAAAAATACAAACCCTGGCCACAGCCTCCTATATTTACCAAAAAACCTGCTGAATATGTTCCTCCTATGGAGAAAATGGACCTTCATACCACTACCCAGTTACACTTCAGGCATCTAAATGGCAAGCCAGCCAAGATGTGTCTACCATTGGCCCAGCATAATATAAGTACAGAACCATTTAACAGCTCTTCAACAACGAAGGAAGATTATAAGCCCTGGATGTGCAAGAGAGTAAAGCCTATCACTCATGCTCCTGAGCTGACTTTCCCAGCCAAACCAATGGATTTCTTGACTACCTTTCGGACTCATTATCTGCCTCAACCACTCATGCTTACAAAAAGCTATAAACCTCCCTGGCCAGGCCCTAGGCCTCACATTCCACTAAATGCAAAAACCATCTATGCTACCAGCTACACACCAAAGGGTATTGTTAGATGTTTAGCCTCTTACAAAAACCCGCCTGGATATATCTTTGAGGGAACCAATGCTGATGGTCACAAATTCTATGTCCCTGCTTCTGAAGAAGAATGTCTACAAGGTTGCCACTGAAAGAGAGAGTGGAAATAGTTTTCTGGGGAATGGATTCAAAGAGCAGGGCTTCTCTGAAACAGCTACAAACAACATCTTGATTTTTTTGCAACCTTCTTTAAAACCAGTAAATGATTTTGTATTTGGAAAGACTTAAAAATAAACTAATACGTACACGTTGATTCAAAGGCTTTTTTTGAATCAGTCGTATAAAAGTTTAAAAGCCAAGGACAAGACAAACTGATTCTCTGTATATTTTTTTTCTTTTTTCCAAGAACTACTTTTTATTTGGAAGAGATAACCTGCTCAGGAGGTAGCAAGAGAGATAACTTACAATGGTGTGATTAATTGTTAGAATAAGAATAATTCAGGCACTTCCATGATGACAGGGGTAGAACCACCTTTTCAGGTGTATTATTTGCTACAAAATCACAGATGGAAGTAACAGCCGGACAGCAAATTCTGAGATCTGACCTTGTTCTTCACTTCCATCAAAGACACATACATACATCATGCACAATTACCAAGTAAAGAATTTTTAAGATTTATTTTTGTCACTCTAGGGGACAGCAGGGAAAACCTCAAATTTGTCCCAGATTTGCAATTAGATGGGGTAACGCAGCCAATAGCCCAGCTGGAGTGCCTCTACACCATGCATGCAACACTGGAAATAATAAGGAGCTGTTGGAAACCATAGTGCAACTAGAAAACCATGACATAATCATTATCAGAGAAATGTGATGGGATGAATCACACAACTGGAGTACTATGATTGTGAGCTACAAGCATTTTAGAAGAGATAAGAGGGTCAGGGGACTCACTCTCTATGTGGATGAATGTTGATAAATGGGTAGATTGTGAAGGGCAGCCTCTGAGATACAGCCACGAATATTTTGAGGACTTGTAAGAGAAAATTACCAATAAAGGACATCTGGTGGGAGTCTATTACAGGCTGCCTCAAGGGGATCCTATTGATGAGGCCTTCTTGCTTGAGATGCAAGAGGCATTGTGCTTGTAGGCTCTTATTCTGATGGGGGATTTCAATCACTCGGATGTCTGCTGGGAAGCTGAAATGTAAGACATGCGCAGGTAGTGAAAGCAGGGACACGTGGTCTGAGAAAAATACAGGGATGCTGTCTGGATGTGAGAGGAGATCAGGAAAGGAAAGGCACACACAGAATTGAACTTACTAAGGAATGTGAAAAATAACAAGAGCGGGTTCTATGGGTACATTGGTCAGAACAGATTGGCAAAGGAGATAAATGATAAATGAGAAGGTAAAAGTCACTTCAAAATATATGAAGAGAGCAGAGATACTCAGCAAGTTCTTTACCTCAGCTTCACAGTCAGGCTTCTTTCCATGTCTCTCACATCTCTGAACCTCTAGGTGGTGGTTGGGAGAGCAAAATCCATCCCTCTGGAAGAGCAGAGCAAGTCTGAGACTGCCTCATGAGATTAAGTGTGTACAAGTCTATGAGTTCAGATGACATGCATTCTAGGAAACTGAAGGAACTGTCTGACATGGTTGCTGAGCTACTTTCCATCACATTTGAAAAGCTGTGGCTGTCAGGTGACTGGAAGAAGAGAAACATCATTGCCATTTTAAAGAAGGCTGAAACAGAAAACTGGGGAAACTACAGGCTAATGGGCTTCATGTCTGAGTTCTGACTGAGACAATCAACAGATCCTTGCAGAAGTTAAGCTATGGCATATGTGAGTTGAGGAGGTAAACTGAGACAACAAGCATGGCTTCACAAGGACAGATCATGACTGACCAACCAGGTAGTCTTCTATGATGAAGTTATAGAATTAGTGGGCAAATGAAGAGCAACTAATGTTGTCTACCTGGAGTTCTACAAAGCCCTTGATATGATTTCATACCACATCCTTATATATAAATTGGAGAGATGTAGATTTGAATGCTGAACTATTAAGTGGATAATTAACTGGTTGGATGGTCACATCCAGAGGGTTGTGATCATTGGCTCTATGTCCAGGTGGAGTGTGGTCATGAGTGCTGTCCCTCAGGGCTCTGTGTTGGAACTGGCATGCTTTACTATCTTTATCAGTAGCCTGGATAGTGGGATTCAGTGTACTTTCAGCACGTTTGCTGATAACACTAAGCTGAGTGGTGCAATTGTTACAATGGGAGGAAGGGGTGCCATCCAAGCAGGCCTGGAAAAGCTGGAGAAGTAGTTCCACATAAACATAATGAGGTTCAGTATGTCCAAGTGAAGGGTACTGTAACTGGGTCAGAGCCATTCCATACACAAATACAGTCTGGGAGAACTCCTTGAGAGCAGTCCTGTGGGAAAGGATTTGGAAGTTCTGGTGGATGAAAAGCTGGATATAGTCAGCAGTATGCTCTTGCAGCCCAGAATTCCAACAGTATCCTGGACTACATTGAAAGAGGGGTGGCTAGCAGGATGAGAGAGGTGATTGTCCCCTTCTGTTCTGCCCTTGTGCTGCAGTACTGCATCCAAGTGCATCGTCCCACAAAACAAGAAAGACGTGAAGCTGTTGGAATGGATTCAGAGGATGCCAAACAGATGATCGGAGCACTGAAGTACCTCTTGAATGAAGAAAGTCTGAGGGAGGTGGCCTTCTTTGATCTGGAGAAGGCTGTGGGGAGATGTTCTTCCATCACTTGTAGGGAACTTAGAAACTGGAGAGAGACAAACTTTTACATGGTCTAATAGTAAAAAAACAAGGTTGATGGGGGAGGAAATTTTTTACTCAGAGGGTGGTGAGGCACTGGCACAGGCTGCCCAGAGAAACTGTGGATGCCCTATCCTTGTAGGCATTCAAGGCCAGGTTTGATGGGGCCCTGGGCACCTGAGCAGTTGGGAGGCGGCTCTGCCCATGGCAGGTGGGGGTTGGAGCGGGTAGTCTTTGAAAGTTCCTTCCAACCCAAGACATTCTATGATTCCATGACTTTTCTGACTCAAAGTATATAAAAAACTCATTAAAATCATCATGTGATAACAATGGAGAACATAATGAGTTTACTTGAATGATGAAAGATGTGGTTCCACAGAAATGAAAACTGTTTAGAGCTTGGGTTGCTACAGTTTCACCTTCAGTTGCATTTTTTCTCCTATTATCTCCCATGCTGGCAACAACATCAGCAATGTCTGACTGCATTTTCACCAGGCCAATCTGGCTAAAAGCAAAAGAGTGCTTTAATCAGATTAAAGTTTATTTAATTCCTTTACTTGAAATGAGGCACCATACAAATTACCATCTTTAGTGAAGGAGTTCAGTGCACAAGGAAGCACGCGTCTGGTAGTTCAGGCTTAGTTTTTTTGTAGAGGCTGTAGAATTACATACTCTTCTGCTTACAAGCTCTTGAAAGGGCTTCAACCAGTGCAACAGATTGCCAGAGATAGAAAGCAAATTACCAGCCTCTCAAATATTTTAGAACTAAGAAAAAAGTGTTGACACAATATTCTTCAGCAAGAGCTGAGCATATTCACAGCACAGACAGAACCAATACCAATACCGGCCATGGTTCTCCAGAGACCACGGGCAGTTGGACTTAATGTATGAAAAAGGAAACCCTTCAATTGTGAGAGAAAAAAATTAACTTTCCTGATGTGTGGAAAGGACCCCCCAGAGGGAGCCACATCATCTCAGCTGTAAAGAGTTGTTTAGGCAGAGAAATGCCAAGTGGGCTTGATGAGATGGAGATCTTTCACAAAGAAGTTTCTGTAGTACCACCAGCAGAATTTGTTTTTGGCTGATCTTGTTACAAATCCCACTTCCTCCCCATTCTTTGCCACTTTCCCACATTGGAAGTAGTAATTTGATGGCTTGTGCCTTTCTTCTTGTTTTTGTGGGAAAATGCTGCTTTGGAACAACCTGATTTTCATTCTCCATCTGTCTGGATATCTGTTGCACAGATGTTTTAGGATGCATTTGGGAGAGAAGGAAAATATATATTAAAGAGTTAACAGCATACAGGGCCTTTTATTTCTGGCTTCTTTAATCTCACTGGTGCTATGCTTGGTGGCAAAGGGACGTATTCCCAGCTGGGTGCCAGAGGAGGGCACTGCCCAGCGCCACTGCATGTGGTTCAGGGGACTGCTTTCCCCAACCAGAAGACCCATGCCATGCTTTGCATTTCTGATCAAGGAGAAACACACCCATGGGACCCTCCCAGCCGAATGTAATTCGCTGTGATTTGTATTTAGTGGGATAAGAGCAAGATTTTCTTTTCTTTTTTTTTCGGTAATAAAATCAATAAGTTGTATGCTATTAGTGAAAACTGATTCCTTCAGAGTTTCACTAAGTGAAGTGTTTTAACAAGCATCTACCAACCTTATAGGCTATTTCTTTAAAGAAGTAATTTATGCTTAAAAAGCCCACAAAACCAGCAGCCTACTGAATAGTGCAGGGGGAGCTCCCCATGTAGCCCAAAACAAATTACTCCTCAGCAGAACCATTAACCCATGGGTGTACAACCTTTTGGCTATCCTGCGCTACCCTGAGTGAAGAGGAGTTGTCCTGAATTTCATATATATATATATACACATATTGCTTCAAAAGGAATGCATCCTATTTATTTCTATGGAAACTACAATAGCTACAAAGAGAACAATAACATTCTTCAATAGAGAAAATTGTCAGCTACAAAAAGCTATTTTTAAAAATAAGCACCCCCATTAGCTATGTATTTTTGTCAGCAATGAACAAGAGCCTGCATACTGTGCTTGTAACAGTGTGGACCAGTGGAGGTGACCCGCTGTCACTGTCACCACTGCTGAAATGCAGAACCCACCACCTCACTGTGCTCAGATCCACTGTTTGGTGTCCATAAACATTAAGCAAGCATCAGTGAATGTCAATCGGTGCAATAATTTCTGGATGGAGGAATTCAATCACACATCTTTGCATAAGATGCACTACTATATAAGAAGCCAATGTGTCAGACTGCCTCTCTGCTGCCATCTGTCACATGCAACAAGATGCAATGGAATACTGGTGGGAAGATTCAGCCTCTACTGCCATACCACCATCTT